CCGGTGTGTCTGGTAGCTCCTGCTCCTCCAAAGGCCACCTCTGCTTTTGCCTACCCTAAACCACCACCCAGCCTTCTGGTACTTCTGAAGTTGGCAAGTTAAGGTCTTAATGTTGTGTTGTTGAATTTTCAGCATCTCCGTTCCCACCAGAAAGCTCTTCTGTTTGGAGGGATTTGGGATAATGCAGCTCTCCTTGAGGCCTCATTATTTCTCAGAAGGCGTCGGTGTTGTTCAAGTGCCCATATTGTGACAAGTGCCTAATTACGTATCCTTTCTGTAGACCCCCAGAGATGCCATTATGTCCACCTGCAGCAGAAGGGGGAAGATTATAATTTGCGTTCAGCATGAGCCTTTCTCCATTATTTCCACTGCACATAAATAAGGAAAACAAATCTTATCGACTGCTGATCCTTGTTTCATTTATCTTATGTTTCTTTTTTTTTTAACAACAGCAGTTTTGCTTTGCTTCTTCTCCTCGGAGTATTGTTGTTCACTACTTCAGCGCTAGCCTATCTGCTCTAGTCTGGCCTAATTGAATGTGCACCTTCGTTGGGCAATCCAGCAAAAATATCTTGGCTAAAAGGGCTTTTCATCCTTTGGAAAGAAAAGCGTGGCTGGAGGGGAGGGCACACCCAAAGATAAAAGCTTGATCAATAACCATGAGGTTGGGGTATATTCACATGGTTTTTCCTTTGTCCCTTTTCATTTTTTTTTTCTTTTTTTAATGCTCTTTTCCCCTCTTCTCACTACCTTTCTGATGATTGAAATTCCCAGACTTCTAGGTCAAAATGCCTCCCCATACATCTCTGTTTATACCTGTAGATAAGAACAGTTTTGAGGAGAGAATACCTAAATACAGCGTGCATTTTGGCACGAGCTGCTAATATCTGAATTAAAGGAAGCAAGTAATGAATACGTACCCCTCCCATAGGTCAACATGAGCAGGGAGACCACGTCCTCCCATGAGCCTGTCCTGGGGGTTTCACTGCATTTCATAATTACTCCACTGACAAAACCCCTTCACAAATAGGAGGAGGACAGAGTTATAAGCTTCGGGAGGGGAAAGACCTCATTCTGCTTCTGTTTGCCCCCATGACAAGTCTCTTTTAGACCTTCGCAGGAGGATTACATCTGCAAATATTTTGGTTTCCCATGTTTCATCTCCTTTTTTGCGTAATTCAAGTGACAAAATGTAGCATTTAACATGGCAAAGCCTGGTTTGTGTTTGCCCCCATCCTGTAGCTTAAACTAAGCTCAAAGCATGGAACCTCCAGAGAGAGGAGGCAGAGCCGGGCAGGGCGAGGAGGGACCTGTTCCATGAAAGGTGGTCCGTCTTTCAGTTGAGATTTTGTTCCTGTTGAAACAGATCCTGGGTGAAAACTGGCGATTAACAACTCTTCCAACAAATCCAGCTGCTAAAACTTTTTTCAAATCAATCCAAACCTTTTTGCTTCAAGAAATGGAAGCGATGCTGCATTGTTAGTATGGCGTGCTAAAGGAAGACCAATGCAAAATGACTTAAATCCAGAAAACAGATCTGTGGGTCTTTGGCACGTACTGGTGTGTGCTCTAACGTTATTTGACTTTCCTGTAGGACAAATCCAGCAAGATCTTTTTCTTTGGGGGGGAGGGTATGTTGGAGTTGCGTATTCCAGTGGAGTGAAGTTCCCTCCAAGGTTTTTTGCAGACACCCCTGTCCCTACCTCATCTCCTGGTAGCCTTTATGGACTCAACTTACTTGCCTGGTGGTATATGAGATGCTCTGGGATGGTGCACACAGCTCCAGCGGTGGCTCTAGCAGGTCCTGGGTCTCTCATAGCTCTTGCATCGTATCTTAGAATCACAGAATCGTTTAGGTTGGAAAAGACCTTTAAGATCATCAAGTCCAACCATTAATCATAGAATCATAGAATCATAGAATGTTTAGGGTTGGAAGGGACCACTAGTGGTCATCTAGTCCAACCCCCCTGCAGTGAGCAGGGACACTGCTAACTAGATCAGATTGCTCAGAGCCCCATCCAACCTGGCCTTGAATGTTTCCAGGGATGGGGCCTCCACTACCTCTCTAACAACCGTTATCTTCCACCTGACCTTTAAGATCATCAAGTCCAACCATTAACAACCATTATCTTCCACCCAGTCTAGGTGGCTCACCTACCCTACTGCATCTCAGATGCCCCCACATGCCCGTGGGCTTTCTGTGTCATTTTTGCTGTTATAGACAAACCACTGTTTACGGGATACTCTAGAGGTGCAGAGATGATTTGCATGTAAGGGTGTCCCTAGTCTTCATGGGTCGAAGTCAAAGGGAAGTCAAATTCAGTGAAGTCAAGCAATGTTTTGTCATGTGTTTGGGAAATCATCCTTAGCTTTTTCATGTTTATAATGGATGAAGGCTATAATAGCATTGCAGTGAGACACTTGTGTACCCAAAACGCACCGTGACCTGTCATTGCCCCCTGTTGTGCAAACCGGTATGTTCAGCTAAATAACATACTGTAGTAGCGCGCACATCTGAGGTGTCACCAAGGGCGTTTTCACTTGGGAAGTTGGAGAGGAGAAAACGTGAGGAAGGCAACAGCCACTGGCAATATCCATCTTGTATTTCCAGCTCGGTTTGTACTGTTTGTGCCAGGTACAGCAGCTGTCGCTGAGTCTTTCTCTGCTCAGTGTAGTGCAGATGGCTTTGATAGCTCTATTTTAGTCAGCTGGGCCATGGAAGATCTGTGCAGAGGCATGTTCTGTTGCTCCAGCTCGCCTTTGCTAAGAGCTCAGTTAATTTTTCCCATCCCATGCCTACGCCTGGGCCAAAGATGCCACGGAGGAGCGAGTTACCGACAAAGGCCAACCATTGCCACGAATCCTTTGAAAAAGTGGATGGAGGCAAATAATTCCAAAATACGTTTCTGGAAGAAGATGTTTGACAAAATGACTCCAAACACAGGCGGGAAGGGGCGGTTGCAGGCTGGGTCTCAACACTCGGCTCCAAAACTGGCTGCCTGATCATTCTCTGGTTTCTTTGTTTTCCCCGTTTTTGTTCCTGTCTCCTACAGGCAAAGCCTATGCTCCCGAGTTCTACTACGACACCTACAACCCCCTGTGGCAGAACAGACCCCGTGTCTACTCCTACAGCCTCCAGTGGACCCAGATGAACCCCGACGCTGTGGACCGCATCCTGGCCTATCGCTTAGGGATTAGGCAGGTGAGGAAAGAAATGCGTTCGTGCAGGATGAATTGGGTGCTGACCTCTGTGAGGACTGCTGAGATTTTATTTTATTTATTTTATTTTATTTTGTTTTGTCTTGTTTTAATTTATTTTATTTTGTCTTATTTTGTTTTATTTTACTTTGTTTTACTTTGTTTTATTTCATTTCATCTCGTTTCGTTTCATTTCATTTCATTTCACTTCATTATTTTTTATCTTTATTTACTTTTTTTCCTCCCTCTTTTCATCTCCTGTGAGTCACGAGTTGTTTTCCTCCTTCTGGCTGGTTTGCTGCCATCTTGCAGAAGTAGTCCTCTGCCTCTTGCAGATTCGGGAAACTCATTTGCACATTTGCAGTGAAATGCAGAGATTAAAGAGCTGTTCCTCAGAGGGTTTGCAGAGGCTGTGGCTCAAGATACGCTAGAAAGATTATATGAAAGAAACTTGCAGTGAAATGAAACCTTTTCTCTCTCTGTATGTATCCCTATACCCCTTATTAGATCTTCCATGTAAATAGATAAATGTAGGGATAGCGTTAGCTTTTCTATGGAAACACGTGGTGATCCTTGAGAACCGAGGCGTCTTTCTTGGGCGCATTAAAGCCGCTCACACTTGCGTCTTCATAGGTTCCCTGTGAACTTTTTGGCGGGAATTGGCGCTGTTAAGGAAGTGGGGGCGTGGGGGGCAGCCCACTTGCAGAGGAACTGTTGAATTAACAAAGCCATCCCCGTTAATTTTCCCTTTAACCACTTTAAAACATCATCTGTCTTCTCTGAAGGGTGTTGTTACAAAGCTTGAGTTTTAATGGTCAATCAAAGTGAAAGAACCAATCTGTGCTTTGCTTAACCTCCCGTTAAACGGCAGCACCTCTGCTTGCTCCCCTTGGCAGGGCAAAGTCATCTTTGTCTGCACTTGCACTTGCCCGCAGCAACGCCCGTACAAAATCTCGCAATTTTATGTTCTACAGGCAGAAAATTATTGTGCCCTGCCACATGCTCGCCATCCTGCCTAGAGTCTGCCCACGCCAAATGCTACGAGTGTGCCAGGGAGTGCCACTGACAGCGTGGGGGTTGGCGTTGCTGGGCTTTCTCTAGGAAAAATACATGGTCTGAAAATAACCCCTCGTGCTGTGAGCACCTCCTTGGCCACCACGTCCACCTCCGCATCCTATCTTACCAGTTGGGCGGCCAGCCTTGGTCTGGCTGGGCAGAGGAGCCCACGCCGTGCCGTGCCATGCCGTGCCCCATCGGGGTCGCAGGGCTCCCACCACCCCAGCTCCTGGCCACGTGCCCCCCGCTCCTGCTCCCAACCTGAACCTGCCGCGATCGAATGAAGACATTTTGCTGCTTATGCGTGAGAATCCATCTGCTGTTGTTTTGGCCTTGCTTTCCACTCTCCCATTGAGCTTGCTTTTCCTGAAATAATCCCACAACTGATTGATTTAGAAAGTATATGTTGGGCTATTCAACGCCTGAAATAATGGTTTGGGCAGGGAGAAAGAGATTGGGGATTAAGGCAGATTCTTGAAGACGTATTTTTGAAAATGGGAGTGCAGAAAATATTTTGTTACCCCACAGATCTCCTACGGGGATGAGCTTTGTAAGCTGCAAAATAAATCCACAGTTTGAGCATGTGATTTATGCTGAATGGATGGGTTTTTTTTTTTTGCTTGTGTAATCTCTGTGGTAGCTGTGGAGCTGGCATCCAGGGAACGGCTCTGATACCTGGAGGGTGCTGGGTCCCCTTCACTCGGAGTTTGTCTCTGCTTGACTCTAACTGATTTGAAATTAAAATCGGTGATTTTTTTAATGCATGTTTATGCAACTGTTTGCACCACTGGGCACAAATCATTTCCGTTATTCCCAGCACCCAAGAAGAATTATTAAATTAAAAAAAGAATGTGCTGAAGTGAAAGAATATATAATGAAATTAATTGCATTAGGCTTTTTAGCTTCTTTTTCTCCATTTCATTTTAATGTACTTTTAATTATTTATATAATTATCTAGAGTTACTTTAGTCTAATTTCCGTGACAGCGTGCTCTGTCAGGATAATCAAAACAAGGGTGGGTGTCACGAGGATGGAGCCAGACTCTTCCCAGTGGTGCCCAGCGCCAGGACAAGGGGCCATGGGCACAAACTGAAGCAGAAGAGGTTCCAGGTGAATGTGAGGAAGAACTTGTTGACTGTGAGGGTGATGGAGCCCTGGCCCAGGCTGCCCAGGGGGGCTGTGAAGTCTCCTTCTCTGGAGATCTTCAACCCCCGCCTGGCCGCTGTCCTGTGCCCCCTGCTCTGGGTGAGCCTGCTTGGGCAGGGGGGTGGCACTGGGTGAGCTCCGGAGGGTCCTGCCAGCCCCTGCCAGGCTGGGATTTTATGTGATTCTGTGATCTGAAGCCACATTTAAAGCACGGGTGATTTAGAACCTAGTGATCCATCCGGACATGCTCATCCATGGTTGCGGTGATTCCCTCTGAAACAGGGGTGATAATTAAACTTTTTTTTTTTTGACACCTGCCGGCACTTGCTACAGCAGATTGCCTTCCGAACTCTTTGTGTTTAGGGAGTTTATTCAACTTAGCAGTGCATTTGTTACTGGGTTTTGCTATCGGTTTTATTTAACAACAGAAGGAAGGACGAGCATCCATCGGGAGCGGCAGAAAACGCCGCTGGCGGCTGCGCAAAGTTCAGGGCAGAAAGAGCGCGGGGGGATTTCCAGGTGGCAGCCAGGGTCTGAGCTAGAGAGCACGCTGCTATCGGAACGAGGGACTGCTCGTAATCTTGCTTTTAATCTCCTAATGCATCGCAAAATGCTGCCAGTGGGCTCGGTAGTGGGGCGGTGTGTTGGTATCTGCCTGCGATTCGATCAACACCGCTACCTTTATCTGATCAGTAAATTGCTTTGGTATTGAGAATGCTGCCGTCAGAGCCCAGGCATCGCGTCCTCTTTAGAGAATCACAGAATGGTTTGGGTGGGAAGGGACCCCTAGAGGTCACCCAGCCCAACCCCCCTGCAGGAGCAGGGACACCTTGAACCACAGCAGGTTGCTCACAGCCCCGGCCAACCTGGCCTGGAATGTTCCCAGGGATGGGGCCTCCACCCCCTCTCGGGGCAACCCCTGACAGGGTTTCACCACCCTCACTGCAAAGAATTTCTGCCTTAGATCCAGTCTAAACCCACCCTGCTTCAGTTTAAAGCCACCCCTCCTTGTCCTGTCCCAGCTGGCCCTACTAAAAAGCTTGTCCCCCCCTTTCCTCTGGGCCCCCTTGAAGCCCTGACCGGCCGCACTCAGGTCTTTACCCGACCTGTGCACTGCTGCTTCACTCGAGACAGAATCCAAGCAGTATTTTGGGAATATTTAGTCGATAGTAGGTTTAGGCTTGCTGAATTTTCTGTGGAATTGCTCAAGGCTGTAATATTGACAGTATTTTTAATGCCATTTTACAAAAACAAGAGTTCCTCATGAGACGCGGTGTGGTTTAGCTCCATTTCCGTGTTTGCCAGGTGGTTGTAGGAAGCCCCGCAAAGGATGCACTTAATAATGAGACTTTTGAAGGGCAAAGGAGCCTCGTAATTCAATGTGGCAGACTAGGGATTTTCCTTAAAGACAATCTTTTCTGCTGGGATTAATGAGATTACACAGCATTACACCAACAGGAAAGCATCTCTGCTGGTTGGCACGTGGTGGGGTTGTAGAGCTGGAGATGTCTCTGCCTGGACAAGCTCAGGTGAGCAGAGTTTTGAAAAGTTTTGCTGGCAACAGAAAGCACCGGAGAGAAATGTCCAGTGCCAGAGGTCCAGCGCGGGCCAAAAGCGGGTGGAACAGAGCCACCGAAGCGAAGGAGCCATGCCCTGCCATGAGGTGGGTGTGTGCCATGGAAATAACTCAGTTCTGCTTTCATAGAGGTACGAGCATCACCGTGGATGCCAGGAGCAGCTGTCGGGACCTTCAGGATTCTGTGGTTGCTTTGTGACAGTGAAAATAGATGTTTTAAGAACAAAAGCAAACAATCTGAAGTAGCGAACTGAAAATCTGTAAGAATCACTGCGTTTGTACGCATGTTAGCTCCATGTCTTTCATTAAGTACTGTGTCCAGCTCTGGAGCCCTCAGCACAAGGAGGACATGGAGCTGTTGGAGCGGGGCCAGAGGAGGGCTACTAAAATGCTCCGAGGGCTGGAGCCCCTCTGCTCTGAGGCCAGGCTGGGAGAGTTGGGGGTGTTCAGCCTGGAGAAGAGAAGGCTGCGGGCAGAGCTGAGTGCGGCCGGTCAGGGCTTCAAGGGGGCCCAGAGGAAAGGGGGGGACAAGCTTTTTAGTAGGGCCAGCTGGGACAGGACAAGGGGGGATGGCTTTAAACTGAAGCAGGGGAGGGTTAGACTGGATCTAAGGAAGAAATTCTTTCCAGTGAGGGTGGTGAAACCCTGGCAGGGGTTGCCCAGAGAGGGGGTGGAGGCCCCATCCCTGGGACCATTCCAGGCCAGGTTGGCCGGGGCTGTGAGCAACCTGATGTGGTTCAAGGTGTCCCTGCTCCTGCAGGGGGGTTGGGCTGGGTGACCTCTAGGGGTCCCTTCCCACCCAAAACATTCTAGGATTCTATGATTCTAAGACCGTTGTATAGCTCTCCCCACCACCACCACTGTACTTGACGCACACAGAGCACACTGATGGTGAGCAGAAGTTTGTTCAGTCGAGTTTGTCCTGCTGACATGGTCGTGTGTGACGGATGCTCCTCCGGGGAGCAACAGGAATTATTTGGAGCACTTTGCTTTCTGCTTAAGCCCAGACACTCCTGCTGTTGCCTTTTGGGGATTCATTCTGTGCTTAACATTATTTTTTAACAAGCAGAGGCTCTTGACTGTGTTTCTAGTTGATGCAGCACATGGACGGTGGCTTCCCAGTGCTGGGTTTTAATTGGCTTTGAGGATGCTGAGCTGCGGTATCTGCCAAGCCTGCTGTGACGGAGCGTCTAGCCGCCAAGCAGCATGCACGGCTGTGCTCCTCT